GTTTATATTATTATTTAATACTAATTTAATAAAACTTTTTGGATTTTTGTTATTTCGTTGAAGTATTAAAAACTAAAATCAAGAATTAAGAAAAATAATATTTTGGTAGTTGATTAAAATATCTCAATGTTATTAAGATATTATTATGTTTGTAAGGAATGCAAGTAGAATCGCAGTAGCCTAGCCCATTGCTTAAAATGTTGATATATATATTTCATTGGGGGTGAATGTCAATGAGTTGATGAGCGTATTGCGTATTGATGAGCGTCATTCCCTCCACTTTCTCCAGAGGAGGTTATTACGGAGGTCAATGAGCGTAAGAAGCGGGAAGCCAATGTGATAGCATTAAATATTACCGAATCCAAGGCGTTAGACCGTAAAGTAGGTATAGAAGAAGATAGATCACGGTCATCAGTTATTCCAAAAAAGCTCCATAAAAATGTGAAATCGTTCAAACTATGCAGGCAAGGGCGTCCAACACCCGATCGATATAGGCCTGTGCTGATTGAGACACAGTCTGCCTCTCATGCTAGAAATATACAAAAAAACAAACCTGATCCTGGCAGACGAGTCTCCTTCAAGTCAGATCTCACTCCGGCTCAGCAGTCACAATTGCAATCACTGAAGGAAAACTTAGATTGGTGAATGACAGTGGCGTGAAAAACAAAACCATTAAATACGTGAATGACACGCCTAGAATTGTTAATAAAAACCTTCGCCAGGAAAGTCATCGAGGAAAGGAAATCTAAAGCAGATACACTTATTCTACCAGAACACGCGCGGTCTAAGGACAAAACTGAGCGAGTTCCTAACCTCATCGGCAAGTAGCTTGCACGGTGTAATATGTATACCAGAGTCCTGGCTTCACTCATCTATTGAAAATAATGAATTCATCGATAGCTCCTATATCACACTTAGGAAGGATAGGGATACTTCGAGAGGATGCGAGAGAGGAGGTGGTGTCCTGATTGCTTTTAAACGAACAATTAAAGCTGAGTTTATATCTATTGGAAACAATAACCTAGAGCAGATTTTCATAAGGATCAAAGGTGATAATGCTTGTATCATCATTAGGTGCGTATATATACCACTACAAGCTAATTATGAGATATACTATGCCCATATTGAAACATTAATGCATTTGAGAGTAAAATTTCAGAATTCAAGGATCATGATAGTGGGGGACTAGAATTTGCCCAGCAGTACACCCCGTTTTGATTGCGAGAAGCTGCTCTGATTGAGTGTCAACAACTCAATAATATCTTAAATAAAAAAATAATCTGTTGGATTTATGTTTCAATAATTTGGATCTTTCAATCAACGAAAACCTTGCTTTTACGACGCAATGCGCTGCGCTGGATCAGATCGTACCTAACAGGAAGAAGATTGCAAGTAAAGATCGACGGACACATTTCAGATGAGTATGATGTCACATCTGGTGTTCCCCAGGGAACCCACCTTGGACCCATACTCTTCCACATATTTGTGAATGACATTGGGAAGAAACTTCAGTCTGAGTATTTATTATACACTGACAATTTAAAAATTTTTCGTGGAATTTGCACCGGTCTTGATATTCACATCTTACAAAACGATATATGTAGATGAGCTGTATAACTGGTGTCAGTTAAATAAACTTATTCTGAATATGAAAAAACGCGAAGTCAGTGATGTTCTTCACCCGCATACTCATGTACCTTTAACCTACACTTGGAATGACCAAACAGATGACTAAATATCAAGAAACATATCGAAAAAATTACTTCGCAGGCATTACTAGTATTTTCTAGGGCTGATTAATCGTATGTGTATTGAATTTGAGAACAGTTGCTCATTAACCTGCCTGCTCTCAGCATTAGTGCCACCCATTCTAGAATATAGAACAGTGATCTGGTCCCCATTCACGGACTCAATGGTCAACAGAGTAGAGAGCATTCAGCGGAAGTTCTGCAAAGCGCTGCTATTTCATAACAGACACAGAAACGAAATTAGTTCAACAGAACACGCCCGAAGAATCCTGAAAATAAATGACCTGAAATCTCGAGGCCAGGTAGCAGACTCATCTTCTTTTTCAAAATCTTCAATGGATTAATTGATGCCCCAGAAATCTTTGCAGACTTTGAAATCATACCAAATGAGCTTAACCTTAGACAGATGCGGATCCTGAAAACTTGCAGATCGAACAAAAACTATATAATCAATGGCTCAAAGGAAAGAATCTGTACATTGGTAAAATCTCTGCACGGTGACGTCAACTTCTTCAGCGGATCTGCAGAAAGTTCGTTCAAAAAGTTTTATTAAAATACTAGCATACGAACTAGGTTACTTGTTTAATTCCCAACTTTTTATGTGTCAGCTGATATGACCCATCTTATGGGCGCGCAATGCAAGTGCACTGTGAAAACCGCTACTCCCTTCTCTCTTTGACGTAGGATGACGTGAGAAGTCACGGCATTTGGGTTTTTCTTAAAATAGCTCAATATCAGAGACGAATGCTATTATTTATAAATATATAAGTAATCTTTAATAGTTTGTTTTCAGTTTTGATCATTATAAAAAATTGTAATTGAAAACATAGATGTGTACAAAACTATATATGCGTATTGAGCAATGGCAACATTGTTCAAATGAAAACAAACAAAGCTGGCTGATTTCTGCGTTTTTGTCACGTACGCAACTGTTCACAAATTTTGCTCGGTAAGGAAGGAAAAGAAGGAAGGCAGTAGCGTTGCCACTGTTCCTGCTATTAATCCTGATGACTTATTTGGAATTATAATTGTTATTCTATGTATAGTACCGATTGGTGTTAAATAAATAAATAAATAATAGATGACGCCTTTGGGAGAAGCCTTCCACCATTCTATTTCAATAAAATTATTACAAACTTCTTTAAAAATGTTGAAATTAACAATGCAAACACAACCGATTTTGCATTGAGGGTGGTGATTTTGTGAGGCCAAGAGAATAAGGCTGTTAATTTTGTATTTTATCATTGTAGGACTTGAGAGGTGTGTCGCTTTCATTACTTTAAATACAAATAATTGATAGAGCAGTATTAGATTTATCGATTAATTGTAAAGTTTCGGGCAATTTTATTTTCAAGAAGCTTTTTAGAGCAAAAAGTTTTGACAATTGTGTTTACAAATGAAAAGTACCTTAGATGGCGGAAATACAAAAGGTTTTAACTTAACTTTGGATGTACTTCATCTAACCATGTGTATTTTTTCTAGTTTTTGCTAAAGCAGTGCAATCACTTTCAAAGTTCGGAGGCGACTTATTCATTGAAGCTAATATTGGTGGAATGCAGCTTCGCACTCTGAATCCAACTAAATCTGCTGTTGGAACATATCGTTTTAGCAGGAGCTTCTTCGATTGTTACGAGGTCGACCAAAATGAAGAAAGTTTTTGTAAACTTGATATGAGGGCTTGTCTCACCGTGTTTAGAAATACAAAACAGGTATACATATATGTATATTCGAACTAATTTTAAAGGAAAGATGTGAAATGGGAAAAACATTATTTTTACATAAGCATAAATATAGCTGATGTGGTTGTTGTTGTAACGGGTACCTAATCTCCGTTAGGTTGGTTAGGATTAGATAAGTTGCTATCCAACGGTAGGCCCAGAAAACGTATTGTTTCGTAAGGGTCGGCCCGAAGGGGCCGAATTAGTTAATATACACATATCCATAAAGTGTTAATTTTATATGTAATTTATCATATTATAGAATATACATACATATTTTCTTTAAAATGTAGGTTGAACGGTGTGATATGGCTCTCTTAAACGACAGAACTAAGTTTCAGATTCAATTAAAATGCCAACATGAAACTTTGAAGAATACGTTTATTTCAGTTGATGACGAAGAAAATATTACCGCAGAAATGGCACCAGAAAACAACTGCAACACGTAAGTTAAAATAAAAATTAAAAAGTAATAAAATTCTTTTTTATTGTAGTATTTGTGGTTCACATAAAATATTCACTGAAATATCCAATAACTTTAATCCAGCGGAAGAAGAAATTACTTTAGAAGCACAAGAGAAGAAAGTAAATGTTAAGAACTATGTTGAAGGATCTAGAGTTAATGAAAAATTTATGAGGTCTCAATTGCAATTGAAGTAATTATATAATATTTATTGTCTCCAAAAATAATATTACTATATATTTTCCAAATATATATAGCGCCGATGAGTTTGAAAAGTACAAAATTGAAAAAGAAACGTGCATAACATTTTGTTTAAAAGAGTTAAGAGCGTTTCTTATGTTTGCTGAGGCCTTAAATGAAAGCTTGTGTTTGCAATTCGATGGAGCCGGAAGGTATGTTATTTCATTGAACTATCAATACCAAAGCGAGACTAATAATTAAATTTTTTAGTCCAGTTTTTGTGGGTATATCCCATAGAGATGAAATTAATTGCATACTTATCATGTCTACCTTATCACCAGAAGAGGTAAGTTTTTATGACAATTGTCAGGAAAGTGAAGTCCAAGAATGCACAACTTCAAAAGCAAGCCAAAAGCGGAAACTAAAAACAGCGAAGGTACCTAATCAATCTAAAAACATTAGAAGAGTTATGGACCAGAAGTGCATTGCTGAGGATACGACCCTCAGCAATAGTTCATCATTATTTGGATTTGTAAACAGTAGTAGTGAACGGAGTTACCCGTCGTCTGTTGCTGTTCCTCGTAATCTTAATTCATCTGTCTCGATTTCTAGCTTCGATGAGATTAGTCTTTTAACGCCAACATTATCTGGAGAAACAAATCGAATGCAGATGTTTGATAAGAATGTTGATCCCGTTGTCAGCAAAGGTGTACATAACGGAGATAACGACGATTGCATTCCTGATTCACCAAAGCGCGAAGGGAGAACTAATTTGCGATCTATATTTTCCCGCTGTTTTCAATCAACATATGTGCCAGTGGAACCTTCAACAAGTGGACAAATATTTGCACTTGATTCGGACACAGAATAATAAAAATAAAATTCCATATGTAAAATATCGATTAATATTTTTTTTATTTATAAAAGCTTAGTGTTTGATATCCGGTACAAAATTGCTTGCAAAAATATCTTTATGTTTTTCATGCAGTTGCTTCATACTGACCTGAGAATTTTTCAAAGAGCATAAAACTGACTGCATAGTTACCTGAAAATAAAAAATGTTTTATGTATCACAAGAAATATAGCGTCTAACACGCACTTAGCTATTTAAGAAAAATGAATTTTTTCATTACTCCTTGCAGAGAAGATTGCAAGAATCTTGTCAAAAACCGAATACGTGAAAAATTTGTTTTAGTATATTTCTCACAAAAGATTGAATTCCAAAACTAACATCTGGATAAAATTAAAAAAAAACTTCGCTTCATTAAATTTAATGCCTTTGTGAAAACTATTAAAGAAGTACTCACTATAGGGATATTATTCTCATATACATACATATCTGAATTTAGTTATTACTAATGACATATTTCGTCGTTAATTTAAAAAATTTGGTTGGACGAAATAAAAATTAAAATAGCTTATTTTCTTTAATTTTAATTGTTAATACCAAAGCTTATTTAAAAATATATAACTGTCTTACCTGTGATTTTATGAGATGTTGATCAATGTTTAGCAAATGTTTAGACGCATTTGTTATAAAATTCTTTGCAAACATAGACATTCCCTTATAAATTGCAATGTTATTATCGACTGAAAATAACGGTGAGAGTTGAAAATTGGATAAGTTTAGTTTATGGAATTAATACTTAATTTTCGTTGCAGCAAATTATTTTTGTAGCGTGATTCTGTCATTACGTTATCATTTCCCAATGTTGGTAACTTTTTTTCGAACAAATCTACAGAAAAATATGTATATATGATTTTGGTCAAATGTAGTATTGGTTGTGTTACCTTCATCTGACTCAGTGGCTTCGCCAGGAACTTCGGATGCGAATATTTTGACCTGATGATAAATATAAGAAATTATCATTTCAATTATAATGTGCAAACAAATCTTTTACATGAGTTTCTTCATCGGATTCGGATGCTTCTCCTCGTACTAGTTCTGTCATTTGTAACACTTTACAATCAGCTCAAATCCAAATTTTTCATTTACAATTTTAATACAAACCAATAAACTTTTATGACTAATTCACATAGAACGTTTCCTTCGCTTTGGATCAGACATTTGTTTTGACAGAAAAATTCAACGCTTTCACGCTTTGCTAATAGGGGCCATACACGACACACATGTGCGTTCGATCTGTATGAAATCGTTTTGCCATACACGACATACAAATTAGCAAGAGCAAGACGAGAGAGAGAGAGGAGAGCTACGCTTGGAATATCCAATTGGCGCTACCTAGCGAAAAGAAGAAACGGCTGGCGCGCTGTTGTTAACTAAGAAGAAGAAGAAGCACTTTTATCTATTTCTTTGCATTTCGTTAATAAGTTATTCCAACTTTTATTTTTCACAATTTTTTTTTTATATTTCTCACTTTTCGTTTGAAAAATTCCCAATTCATTTTTTATAAGATCAATAAATTCTGTTACGAAATCTTTATTAAGGAGGTGTTTTTTTGCTTAAATCTCTTTAAAAATTATCTAGAAATATGCCCTAAAGATATAGATGGGAATTCGAAATATCGAAGCTAGAAGGGAATAAATGGTCGAAATTTTGAAGGGCGATTTCTCGGCTTTTCATTTTCACGATTATTTTTAATTGGCGGGCAGGATTGGCGGGCAGGATTAAAACTAAATGTCGTATTATCTTCTATTTAAACTAAAAAAACTAAGAAAAGTAAATTTTGAACATATTTTTAAACAACGTAAAGTAAAATTTTTTGGTCAAAAACAACTTTTTTTCAATTCGTAGAAAATTTGACACTTTTTTTTTGGAATTTTCTTAGTTTAACTAAGAACACGATTATTACTTATTCAAATATGAAAGGGCCAATTACGTTCGGTTATGTCGGATACATTGGATAACAAGTGCGACGTTGGACGAGTGGTAATAACAAAAAGCCAGCAGATACCAGAAACAGTTATTTGGGCAGAAATAAATAAAGATTGTAGGAAAAATCAAGTTGTGGGTTGTTGAGGACATACATGAATCTACACCAAACTATTTATAGGCAATGGTAAGATAAGATAAATGTGTTAAAGTAAAAGTACTTAATGAGTTCAATGCACCAATTAAACATTCCAGAGAAGCTTGAGAAAGAAGATACTAAAGGCTAAACAGCTCCTTTTCAAATACTCAACCATTTGTTATAAGGACGCTTCAGGAAGAACCAAAGTCGGTGTAATCGAACCATCAGCTGGACTCCAAAGAGTTCAACAGACTCTCTGAGTGCTCTATGTGTTCAGCACTTCATACTCAAACAACGAAACGAACAAAACATAATGTGCTGAACACATAGGCAGCCACAGACTTCAAGCGACATCTCTCAAATATTAAAATACACACAGCAATTGCCCGATGCATCTCGCTTGTGAATTTTTCAGACGCCGGGCAGGATGCAGATCGCAATTTCTATCGTAAACAAAAAATTCAAAGAGATTCATATTTTTTAATAATTTATCTTCTAGTTAGAAATTCTACCACAATTATGACTTTATCTACCACTATAAAATTGTGTACCACGGCAACTTTTCTAATTACTACTGTAACGTGCGAGCACTACTCAGAGGATTCGCTATAATTATCTTCTCCAGTTGCAGTATGTAATGATTGGTTTGTCTAATGATTGGTTGGATTTAACATTTTCAGCTTTGCGTTTACGTCCAACTGAATTATTGAACAGGTTACAATTGCATGCAACATAACATTTTTTCCGCAGTTGAAGCATTTAACCATACCATCATTTTTCTTAAGTATTTTTGTAGATTTTCGAGTTTTTTTTGAAATTTTTTTTCTTCCCCGTGGATCCGCGCCTGGTAATGGATATACTATATTTATGTATGTACGTTTATCTTTATTTTTCATTCAAACCAACTTTTTGGTTCTAGTATTCGTTTTCGCCACAATATCATCAGTACAATACAAAAATGTCACTTGTGAATCTCATCACCGAGAAAATTTGAAGCTTGAAATCAACTTGTGCTACTCTGATTTAGCGCTAAGGAAAGCTTATAAATTATTACAGTTGATTTAGATTAGTGATGAGGAATATTTCACTACCGGTGATTTTTTCACTGTGATTGAAAAATCGCAGATCGCAACTGCGATCACTTTTGTAAATAGCAGTCCTATCTATGAATTGCGATTGCGAAAGCAGTTTCTTTCTGTGAATTGTGATAGCAGCTTAAAGCATAAAAGTGGCAGATGTGGTAAATACGCATTTGCGATTTTTCGTTACAGCGGTTTTCAATTTTAAGCGTAACGTCTTATGATTTTTTATTAAGGACAGGAAAATTTTCAAGGAATATAAACGTAACTGACGTTTGAAGTGGTAAATGAAATTAAAAAAAAAAATCTTTAACCAATTTAAAGAAACATTTTCAAAACACACCACAGCCGCTTTTGCGATGATTAGTCGTTTAAGAAGTAATCGATACTTGCAACTACTTAAGGAATTTTTAAATTTAATTTTGAATTTTATTTATTGTTAAAACCAATATAAAAGCTTATGTGATGAATTAAAAAAAAAAAAATATTGAGTACAAATGTTTTTATATTTTCGTCAGTGTGTGCGTTAAATATTCATAAAATTACATAAAAGCATGTTTTTGGTCTAAACCTCATTTTCCTTATTCACGTGAACCTAATTTTTAAATTTAGCCGTAGTTTGCATCATATACAAACATATATGTATGTATCTCCGTTGAGGATGATTCTAACATAATTATCTCTGACACAAATAAAACTATAGTAATTGGTATGAATTATTGTCCCACTTTAATCCCTTTTGCCCTTTAATTTGCGAACAAGTTTTTCAGATCGGACTACTATAGCATATACAAACTGCCATACAAAATTGCCCAAGGAAATTGTTTAGATTGGACTACTATAGCATATAGCTACCAAATTAACTTACTAACATAATTTTAGTTCTCGCATTAAAACTTTAAAGGTAAGGTTTTTTCTTCTTTAATATAAAGGTTTACAACAGCTGATGTTCTACCCGACCTGGTTTTTTGCAAATTACGAGAGCTGGTACTTCCTCACTTGTTTTCAATAAATTTTGTCAACGATTGCAAACCAGCATTTACAAAATTTTCAAGTAATGAAATGAAATACACCTTAATCCGAATTTTTTAATATAATTATATATAGTATTTACTGCCTTCCTAAGCTTTTAAAAAACATAAAAATATTAAAACATAAATTATGTACAAAAACAATTGTAGGAGTATGTATTCATAGAGGCAACGGTTCATGCAGCCAAACACAACTACCGCCTTCAGCGAAATCAGCTGCAGCATGATCCTGACCGCGCAAAATCCATTTAGTCGTTAGAAGTCCCTCAACGCCAACTGGACCACGTGCGTGAATTCTTGCCGTTGATATGCCAACCTCAGCACCCAAGCCGAATCTGAAACCATCAGCAAAACGCGAACTAGCATTATGAAAAACACAAGCACTGTCAACCGACGACAGGAACTGTTGTGCCGCAGAATCTGTCAGAATATATCAAATAATTTCCCAATTAAAAAAAGTATTTAACTAATATTGTGCTTTATTGCACCTGGTATGAACTTTAATATAATGTATTATTCTAAGATCTTCTCTTTTCGTATATTTGGCATTGCTTCCAGAGCTGTAAAACCTTTGTAAATGTACGAAAATAGAAGATCTTACCAGTGGTATTAGTTTTAGGGACTGCCAAAGTCTGGACCGTGCAAATGCACGTCTTACTAAAAAATTACTTGACATTACAGAACGCATTTATAAAAAATTCATAAGCCCATTAGTAGATGGATAGTCAGAAAAGCGCTCGCGACATTGGCTACATCGCAGCGATAAAAAAGAACAATAATGCATTGCCAATAAAACAATGTCCCCTTAATTATGCTAAGAGCTTCTCAAACATCTATAAGCCATAAGATCTAAGCAATATCGGAAGTCGTATCGTAGTGATTGCTTTCAGAAAAGCAATAGAATAATATTAAATATGTAAATGGATTTTTATATTGAATACCATTTCGACAAACAAAAATAAAGCCTATTCGATAACGTCAAAAATTTGAATAACTATTTTTACTTGAAATTTTTTGAATTATCGTTAATGGTATGGAAATATGGCAAAGTAATGGCTGGCAGCAGGTGATTAGTTTAGTTTAATCAAGAATTATCAATTAACAATCTTGCGCACAGGTTAATTAGAAGGATCGAAATTAAGCATGCATTGATTTCCTTTCACTGCAGTTTTTGTTATACATACCGCTCTCTGTGACAATGACATCGGTATGCCCGCTGCCGTATGTGTGTATGTGTTCTATTGCCTCGTCGATATCCTTCACAATCTCGATGCAGCACTCCAGGGCACCATATTCATGCTTCAGACTCTTAGCAGCCGGAGGACCAAAGGTTAATTTCTGGCTAAGTTTTGGTCCTGAGTATATTTTCACTCCTTCACGCTTCAACATGTTGCAGACATCATTAAAAATGTTGCCACTCATAAGATCCTCATGAATAAGAAGCGTCTCCATTGCATTGCAAGCTAGAATGATAAACGCACAAGTAGAGCAAATGAAAAGTAAGTACAAAAACACAAGAGTAGGCAGCAGAGGTGTGCACTTAGCATAAATATACCTGCTGGATAGTCACATTTAGCATCCCTGACTATCTTCAGGGCCTTACGCAAATCAGCTTCTTTGTCAACGAAAACATGACAGACACCTTCGGCATGTCCCAACACCGGTATGTGGACGGATTGTTCTTGAATTGTGCGAACAAGCTCTGAAGAACCACGTGGTATTATTAAATCGATATGGTCCTCCATTGACAAAAGATCACTAATTTCTTCACGTGTGGATACCTAATCATAGAAGTTATGTAATTATTTACGTATATTATATGTACATACATATTTAGTATCGCTTATACAATAATAAATACCATACAACCCTGAAATTATCTCACGTATTGTTCAAATATAATATAAAATAAAGGATTTCAAAATATAAAATTTCCTGAACTCACCAAGGAAACTGCGTTTTCCGCCCCTACTGTCGCGAGCGCTTCCTTAACCAGCTCCATTAAAGCTTTGTTGCTGTTAGAAGCCTCTTTGCCACCTTTTAGTAAAAGACCATTAGCAGAGGCCATTGCCAATGCAGCTACTTGGGGTAATGAGTCTGGACGTGACTCAAATATGACTAGTAGTACACCGATAGGTACTGTAACTTGCTTCAATTCCAAATTCTCTGCTAGTCGTGTGTGACGTAGAACGCGACCAACATTCTGAAAACGTGAGTAAAACATGCTTTTTTTTATCTTAAATCCCATCCTTTATATCTTACTCTATATAATAATGATTTAACTTTGACTGAGTGGAAAATATTATTTTGAAGATTACTTCTGCACTTATTAAAATAAATTCTTCGGATTTTCAAACAAGAGAGGAGAAAATATCCAGTTTCTTGTCGGATGGACAAGAATGCGCAAGCAATAACTCAAGTGAAAATCAAGATTTCTTGATAAAACTTGAAGTCCTAATGCACTATGTACAAGGAATGTCCTGTATCATACATCAAACAGTTCTCAAGATCGAATAATAACTTTTCAAACCCCCATTCTTAATATATAATATGAAGCACAGTTCCTATAACTGATATTTTACTGAAAATAAAAGTAAATATCTGAGATATACATATATACATATATTATAGAAATTCAGAGATACTATTTTTTGATAAAAGTCGGGCTGCGTTTCTTGTAAATTGCGGAAGTATAAAATGTTCGCTTACATCCAAACTTTGCCCTTGCTTACTACTTCTATATAGGTTGTAGAGATTATATTCATTGCTTAATTTTTTTTAAATATGTATATATTTATTTGCAATCCATCAATTGACAATCGGCAAATTTTTTAAATACATTAATAGTGACAGGATTGATTCTTCTCCATTGAAACTAATCAATATATTCGTAAATTATTTATTTGCTTAAACTTCTTAAAACTACTTAAAATCTACATGGAAGATCCAAAATGTGAGTTCGTTTTAAGCGTCTAACATCCATACTGTTGTCTAGTAAATTTATTGCCAGTAAGTTTTCATTTTAAGACAATCTATCTAAATACTTTTGACAAGATTTGCTGATTTCGAGTGATATTGTTGGAGGATTTCAATGTTGGAATACGTCCATACTGGCTTAAGGATTGACTTGTAAAGTCGTACTTTATTTTCAAGGCTAAGTTGTAATCGCTGACCTAAAAGCCAGTACATTTTTTTAGTTTTAAATTTGAGTTGCTTCGTTTTTTTTTTTTTATGTGTATCTTTCAAGTGAGTCGTCTGTCCAAATAAAGACCAAGGTATTTCACAGTTTCACTTTCAGGTATTATGGATCCATTTAACGTTACGGAGGGACATTTCTCAGTCCTTAACGTAAACGTTATTTGAACAGATTTCTGTGTATTTACTTCTATCGTCCATTTCTTTAGCCATTTTTCGACAATATTAAGTTGTTCTTGTAAGTGAAGTGAGGCATCACTAGGATTAAAACTGGTGGCTATAAATGCGGTATCATCAGCATAAGTTGCTACCTCTAAGCCATTAGCGATCGGTAGGTCAGCTGTAAATATTGTATATAACACGGCGCCATTCGAATAAAGCTCAGAAAATGCATCTTTTTCCTTGACATAGAACGTTAGACTGCTTAAAAATGATTTTATAAGTCGGTAGTAAGGCGCTGGAAACCATTTCTTTATTTTATAAAGTAACACTGGGTGCCATACTTTATCAAATGCTTTTTTAACATCTAAAAAGACCCCTGCGCAGTATTGCTTACATTCGAAAGCACTCGTAATAATTTTAACAATTCGATGACATAGCTCAGGAGTTCCATGCCCCCTTTTAAACTCAAACTCATGTTCAGGTAATATGTTTTGGACTTCTAACACAGGTAACATTCTCTTTAAAGAAATCTTTCCAAATATCTTAGAGAAGGTCACCAGTAAACTTATTGGATGGTATGCAGAAGCGCAGTTCTCCGGTTTATTGGGTTTTGGAATCATTATTATTTCAGCGCATTTCCATTGACTTGGATAGTGGTCGAGTCTGATCATAGCATTGTAGATGTAAGTAAGTAGTCTGATAAATTTTTGTTTCAGGTGTCTACAAGTAAGTTTTTATCAAAACCAGGCGATTTTTTAAATTTAGTTTTCTTTATCTCAGTCGTTACTTCCTTGATAGAAATTCTTCGAATAAGCAGACTCATCAGGCAAGGCGATTCTAGGTTTTGTACTTCAATAGTGTTTTCATTATCTGGAATTACGTTTGGTCTAAAAACTGAATATAAATGGTAAGCAAAAGCTTCGGCTTTCTCTTGATTATCTCTGCAAATGTGACCATAGTTATTTTCTATAATCGTGTTTCTCCTAGTGGGTCTCTTTAGATATTTGGTT